GCTCTATCCTGGCTGAAACCAGGACAGGCATTAATGCCATTTTAAGTCTTTTTAACTCTATTATTGCTTTTCAATACAATCAGCAGCTTGACAATTGCTGAAAGGCATTAATACAATTTCTTTAAATGCTTGATCACATTTGGACATTGACCCTGCCCACAGGGGTTCAGTTTAATGTGACTGTAAGTTTTCTACATTGCAATTTACAGTTACATTCAGATGTAAAATGTCCAGCCACCGCTAAGGAGAACGGCAAATATTTAAAGAAAGAATTGATGTGTCAATTTTCTTAATTTCATTAGGAAGTTAATTATGTCTTCAACTATTTATTGAATGCAGATCGTAATAGAATGATTCTTGATTTGAAGAACTGTTTTTTAACTTCTGCAAGACAAAAACACAATTCCCCAACACATTCAAACATTAAACTTCTGATCTGAAAACCTGGAGTATGAAATTGGAATAGAATTCCTGTCTCCAGACATACAGTGCATGGTTAAACAAAGGAAATACCACTGATTACATATCTTTATTTCATTTTTGACACAAACATCTATTTCGGTGTGCTAATTATTGTTTTACTCATGTGATCTCTACAGATCAGGAGTAAAAAAAAGTTAGACTGATATTATCAAATCTGAGCTTTCTGGTGGTAGTCTATCTTTAAAAAGTATTATCATTGAAAAATACTGGTAATCTAGAAAAATATATGCAACTAAATATGACAGACTTACTTTGGAAGAGAACTGTCAAAACTCTGTGCTAGAGCTCAGGATACTCCAAATGACATCCTGGAGCAAAGAAGACATTCTGGCCCTGGCTCTCTAGATCAAAAGGAAACATCATTCTACTTGAAATCTAGTCCTATAGGTCATTTATTCGAAACCCTGTTCTTTATTCCTTCCTCAATGTACGGGGTAGATTAACAAACTGCTTAAACAAAGAATGTATGCCATGTACAGTAATAGGAAATGCTATGATAGCACACGAGAGAAAACAGCATTATCAGTAGCCATTCATCACTGGAAGTGTTCAAAGTGTAAATGTGGCACTGCAGGATATGGTTTAGTGGGCATGGTGGTGTTGTGTTGATGGTTGGACTTGATGATCTTAAAGGTCTTTTCCAACCTTAATGATTCTATGATTCTGTGATTATTCAGGAGTAACGCCAAATATTAAGGAACTCTGAACAAGGAGCTTGCTTTAAGATTTTGTTAATCATTTAGACGTAAAAATGAATTAAGAGCCCAACAGGTACTAGGTAACTTCATTTTTGAAGTGATGTAATGAAGGCTGCCAATGGGCTCATCAATGACAGATGAGTCACAAAAGAATATATCTTCTCATACTGTTAAATCGGAGCAGAACAGCAAACCATCAGTATGACATGGCTTTGAAAAAGCAAAAACAATTATAGGATGCATTAGTAACCTACTTCTAGCAGAGCTAAATATACAGAATCATAGAATAGCCCAGGTTGGAAGGGACCTGAACAGACCATCTGGTCCTAGCTTTCGTGAGAAATGGAGCCTAGAAATAACATATGAATGCTGCTGCACAAGTAAATTCATATTCCGTCTATAATTCTACCCGTATGCTTTCAAGAAAGGTTGATGCAAGTTGAGAAAAAGTCTTTAAAATGAAGTGAATAAATAACCCTTTACATGGAAAAAGAAGAAAAGCTTGGCTTATGTTGTATAAAACATATGGACAAATTTTTTAAAAGTACTGTTCTCAAGTTATATATTTCTAATACAGAAAGAATTTAGCTCTATTAAACCGTAGTATGTTGTTAGATTGGACTTTATAATGCTAGACACTATTACAGTGTTGATAACCACACTCCTGACTCTTTGTCCCTGAAAATCAAGCCTTAGATGCTGCTCCTCAGGTTTTTCCTCTGCTGGCAGTCGCAATGATGGCAGAATAACAACTACTTACTGATACACCTTATCCGCTATCTACCGTCCTTGCATGCTATTTCCTATCTAAAACTGAGACAGCTGACTACGCTGCATGGTCCACTTTTTTCAACAGTCTACTCAGTTAATTGAAAACAATGATATAAATAAACATACTGCAATGCACTATTAAGCATGTTAGACATTAATTCATTAATTACAACCTTGATGATTTAGTTGACTAATATTTCAAACAGATTATTGGCTAGTTTTAGAATTTCCTCAGAGTTAATCATATGAGATCGTCCTATTCTTATTTAGGTTAACAGTGGAATGTTGAGGCCAGTACTACTGAAACCAGTTTTGGAAAGAATTCCACCTTCTTCTTAGTTTCTTAGTTATTTTATCATTTTCTTACAAACACGTAAAAGCCTTTATTACTTTTCTTACCCTTTTCATTACTCTAATTTACTTTTTAAACTGACAGTCTGGCATTATTATCCACACTAAACCAATCATAACACTACTGCTTTTACAAAAAATGGCAAGTTGAATGATAGCAGTGAACATTAGTAACACTTTTTATTAGAAATATTTTCTTGTTAAAAAAAAAATTCACAGCTAACTATCAGAGAATTTGCTAATTTTCAGTGAACCACTCATAGTAACTGATACTGCTTATAGGAATTAGCCCCAAAGTCTAGATTACAAATCTTTGTCTGATAGTACCATTCTGAACAACGTATTAATGCAAGGGTTTTTAATTTACCGTGCAAGTAATGAAGACACATCTGCTAAGATAATAAAAAGCATATTAGTAATGAAAATCTGCATACCAGAGCTGCCATGGCCCAGCCAGTTTTGTTGTAGATGAATTCTAAGTTATTTCTTCGCAGATATAACAAGCCACCAACAAGAGATACCAGCAGAGCCAGTGCAATTGTACCAGAATAGTTAGGAGGCCTGAACACTCTAATCTGGAAAAGATAAATGCAAACACAGATTGCAAATAAATGCATACATACAGATCATCTTCCATATAAAGCAACAGGGAGCATCTGAAATCTGGTTTCAGAGTCAGAAAGACTAATTCCTAATGACAAATAATAAAAAAAATTTACTTCCTTTAATAAACTTATAAAATGAAAAAAGTTTTAAGCATCATTTTGAACTGTTCAACTTCAAAACATTATTTCTTCAGCACATTTGCAGGTTGTGTCTGAATTAGGAGCAGCTACCTTTGAATCTGTTTCGTATATAGCTCTGCAAAGCATGTTTTACTTATTAACAGCTAATGATCACAATAAAATTTAACTAAGCAAGAATGGAATACGATCTGCAAACTTCAGAAGTTACCACAAGTACCATTACTTTTTTTTTTTTTAATGTATGCTAGCATCTACACTTGAGAAAAAAAGGTATTAAGGAAAGTTGGAATTTGTCATCAGCCTGTCTCAGACTACAATGATACATCTGGCTTCAACTTTTAAAATTGTCGAGAGACTTACATGAACATCTGTTCTGTCAGCTATCCATTTAGCTAGCTGCTCAGCTGCAAATCCGATTCTCTGCAGGTCAAATGTGTCAGCTCTCTTGGGTTTACCTTTTGGAGGAAAATGCATAAAAGTCGGAGCAGAGTTCATATTCAGCTACAAAACCAGGAAAAACAGCAGAAAAAAATATTAGTAACTACCCTCAAAAATGTTTACCTTTTATGTATAAGACAAAACATGTCTAACTAGCATGAAAAACATTATTTGCCTCCATACGTTACTTTTTTTTTTATACACCTTCATGTACAGTCCTGCAAAAAGAGTGCTCAGAATATTCCTTGCAATAGATTGTTTGGGATGTTTAATTATTTAGAGTTTTTCACAAGGTTTTCTGAGTAAGAATTTCTTATGCTTTAAAGTCTTCACACACTGTAAGAACTTCCCTGTAATTAGTAAAACTGAGACCCCACACCCAACCAATCTATTAAAGTATATTAGGTTATAATTCTAGGGGAGGAAAAAGTATTCAAATAGCTTGACATTGTTTTACTTGTCTAGCTCTCATCAATCCCAAGTTAACTAAACTATTCATCTAGCCTTCCATTGGCTTCAAGACAGACTACCCATTAATGACGATTCTTTTTTGAATCCAGAAAGGTCTAGGTAACTAGCTTAGAATACATAACTTGCCCTAGAAATTACACAACTTAATTCATGTGTTTATGTCACTGGAACTATTCACAGTTATCAAAAAGTTCAAAGGTTATAGATTTATATTTACATTTGCCACTGTAAATTTTTACTTCAACTTTGCGATGTGGCATATGAGAATATAATTTTATGATACCAGTCCATGTCAGTGCAATATAACACTTGAAAAAATGGAATTAACAAAAAAAATCAGGGGAAATACTTAAAGATGATACGCTATGGAGATCTTTAAACAAAAAAGGCAGGGTAAACTAGTTTGTTTCATTCCTGCAAAATGAGTTCTATCCCATTACTAAACATACTCAAGTACGGAACTGAATTTATCAATAGAAATTACCAGCTATTAATGTATTTTCCATCTAAGCAAAAAACAGCCCTCTTCCTTAGTGAACTGATTTGGAATTAAAAAAAATTCTGAGAAAGGCTAAGACAAATGTTGTGAAAGAATTTAATAAAATATTTTATAAGATAGAGAAACATTCTGAGATACAGAAATCTTCTGTCATAGCGTTTGGGGGCAGTTGGTCTGAAACTGCTTAGTCATTCTCTATAAACAGAGTAAAAGCTGAAAAATGAAAGTCATATTAATTTTGGGGGGTTTCTGCTGTGGCGTAAGTATTAAATGAGTTGTTTGCACACATAAACATAAGGTCAGAACTACCTTTCCCCGAAATCTACCTTAAAGCAGTCATTAGTATCACTTACTATTAACATTGTATTTCTCAAAGTCAAAACCTTAAACCATTCTTTACACAATATATTCTAAGATGTCAATTGGAAATAAAAATACTTACTAAACACCAATTGAATTTTTAAAGTAAATATTTTAGAAATAAATATTAAACTCTTCCCCTGAAAATTTTAAATCACATATTTCACCAAAAGGAGGTTAAAAACACGGAGAACTTCGAAATTTGTCAATCATCTTAATCTGCATTTTTAGCTTCAATCAATGGATAAATACCAGAGAAAAGCATGTCATTATTTATTATTAATTTTCAAGGGATGTGCTTTGCCTGGACTAATCAATTTAAGAGGGGGCCTTACACTGCTGTGCACCAATTGATTTTTCACTCTTCATAGCCAATATATAAAATGTAAACCAGTCTCTGCTCTTTTCCCTGAAGAACTTCCAGACTAATACAAATATTACTGGAGTTGAAGAATACTGTATTAGATAAAAGCAATTAAAAGGCTATTTTAGTTGAGCTTTTTTTCCCCCAGCAATAAAGGAAATCTTTAAATGCAAATGCTAGTTGCATTGTACTTAATTCTAAAAAATTACATGAGAAATGGATTGAAAAAAATTTCTCAGACATAATGTAATCTATACACAAATCTTATAAACTACACTTGGAAAATACTAAAAGTGGCTACTAGTATAATGTGTCTTCACTAATGTCATAGAAACTGCCCGGTGTTTTTAACCAGGAAGAATTTGTGTACAAAATAGAGGCACACACCTACACACAGAAAATAATGTCTTGTATCACTTGTCAAATCAACATATGGTTCTAAAAATTAAGAATGTTTTACAGTATCCAACATTTACCTGTTGAAAAACATCTGCCCCTTCATCATAATCCACTATTGTGAAAAACAGTTTGTTTGAAAAAGCAGATGAATAGCGCCATGAATTAGCCAGCACTTGGTATTCTTCATTAGCTTGCCTGTTAAGGAAAAAAAAACAAACGTACATCCACGTGGCATTTGCTGGCAAAAGAGATTCCATAACCAGCTGCACCGGTTAGATTAATTACACTTGCAGTATCATTCTCAACATCCATACTTTCAATTTAAAAAACTTTACGCTAGTTATGCAACTCTGCTTCAAAACTGCCTTCTCCAAAATTCGAAATCTGTTAAGTAGAACTGTACCAGAGCCATCCCGAGATGATGTTAACAAAAATTAAAATCTTCCGTATTTAAAAGTCTCACAAAACAGGAGTGGCCTGAGTGGCAATCGTTACGCAAATCTGCTAACAGATCCATGCAAGGAGATGCTTATGTGGCCCCTGAGTAAGATACCAGGATTTACTTGTTGGAGACAGCTGCACATAAGGAATTCTGAAACTAGTGGAAAAATAACACAGAAATATGACAGTAGAAATCTTCCTAAAATAGCAGACCCATAGAAAGAGCCATAAAAACTGCTAAGCCCTGGGGACGTGATACAAGACCACTGTTCATTTACTTAGTAAGTAGCATAATACACTCAAGATTATTCCTCTCAAACTTGTTTTAAAAGTGATAAAGGATAATTTTGTGCAACATACAGGGTTAAATAATCTTTTCTTTCATCACTAGAAAGTCATATTGCTACTACTCAAATTTGACAGAAAGCCTCCTCTTGGCTTTAGTCATGGCTCTATACTCAGGTGCATTTTTTTTTTTTGGTTGGTTAGGTTTTGTTTGTTCCCATGTTCATTTTAAAAGAGAAAAGAAAACTCAATACCACAAAACAACCAACTTTGCCCTGTCTGCACTGAGAGGGAAGGAAAAAAGTAAGTCCAAGAGAATTCTGGGATCCTTACCAGCAGAGACATTCTCTAAACACACAGTCATAGAACCATAAAATCACAGATTCTTCCACAGGACAAATCCGCATCAGTGAATAATTCAGAGAAAAAAAAAAAAAAAAGGAAAAATCCCCAAAGAATCCTTGCAGAACTTTTGGCTTGACACAGGCTCCTTTGCTAATTATTTCCATACTACTAATTAATCATATCTGCTGTAGAGTCCAAAGCAAGGTTCACAACACTTGGCATCTTATCTTTGCATGTGGTGAGATGCTGAAGTAGTATAAATAAATGTACTCTGCAGCTTTTATGGAAACAGTGTTCTTGTAAAACCAGTTCCATGTGTTTGATGGTGCAGAACGCTGTTTATTTAAAAGCTGTAGATGCAAAAATCTGTTGCAAGAGAACTCTGCACTAAACATGCATAATACATACTGTATTTTGAGAGAGCAAAGAGGAAGAAGAGGATGACAGGACAACAGATGTCATAAGACCCTCCCCATTTCCTCGTAACTGAGATCTGCCTTAAGCATGTGATATCTTACATACAACTCCTGCCGAGTTGTGTTGTATCAAGGAATATATTGTACACACACACCAAAAAATCTACCATTAAAAAAAGTTAAAATGAAATTTATGATCTCTTACTCCCTCGAAGAATAAATCTTATGAAGCACAACGAAACTCAACCTTCACCCTTATTACCTGATTGATTAAAATTTGCTACCTAACTCACTCAATGGGCAAAGTTTGCAATTATTAAAAGCAATGTGATTTAGGCATTAGACTGGTTATTTCTAGAAACAGATACTAATATTAAGCAAACTAACATATTCACTGTCATCCTGAAGAGGGCAGTCAGACAACATCAAGGGAATGCTGTAAAATCTTAAGTAATATCTGTAGGGCACTGTTCTGTTAAACCTGCTATATTAAAGCTGGACCATTTTTCTTATAAGAACAAGATAAAAATCACTTCAGCTTGATGCCATCATTCTTCTTAGTCTACCTTTCACTTGTGATGAAACAGTATTTCTGGGAAATTCAGATACTTCAGTTATGCCCCCACTATTTGACAGAAGACTTTTTTCTGTTGATCTCCATGTATTTGACATCTTTGAACTATTTTGAATGAATGTAATAGGTAGAAAGTACTCTTTGGAAAGTATAATCTTGCAAAAGGTTGTCTTAGATTTTCTATACGAGATTCAAAGCACAATTTCATCCTCACACTGAAGATAGCAAAGCATTCTCATAGCAGTTCTTGAGGGGTGTGGAGAAGCAAGAATGAAAGAAGGGGTAGGAATACAAAGTTACAGGATTACCACATACAGAACTGAAGAACATCCTAGGGTCCACTATATAATTTCAAATGGATACAATCACATTAATAATTTCTTGTAGCATTGGTTACTCCTTTTCAGCTACAATAATAGGAAAAAGCATAAGCACTTTGCTGAAAAAAAATCAGTCTCCAATTAACATCAGGCAGTATCAACTCTGTCACCTCTTATCTACCGATCTCTATCATTATTTAATATAAATTTTATCAGTTTGTTTCTATGAAGTAATGTTAATTATATGAAATTATTATCATAATTATATGAAATACTATAAAGACACAGGGCAGAACTACACTTGGTATGAACTCATCAGAATAATAACATATTAGCACTGCTCTTGTTAGTTTGACAGGGTTTTTTGACAGATGGAGAAGATTTAAATGTTATTGCTGCTACAGTCACCTCTTAAGAATACTAGAAAGAAAGCTACTAGAAAACAGTGGCCAGATCAAAAGGGAATGCTACTATTAGATTTACCTAGAAAATTCAACATACTGAAAAGTAAGCTGCTAAAAAAATACTCTGCAAAATTTTCTTCCATTATGCAAGAGGTGGTCATGAAATATTAAAAGCTTTATTTTAAAAGATTAATTATGTGGGTGTCCATGGAAGATAATCAGATTTGTATAGTTTGAACTGTATTAAACTAGACTAATTTTATTCTATTAGTCCAAGTAGGTCTATTAGTAAGGAAAACACAAATGGAGTATCAGGAAAAGAATAAAAACGACTGTGGAATTATTTGCAAAAGAAAGCAGTAAAGCATTACTTTTTGGCACACTATGGACCATACAAAACATTTACAAATGCACAATTGGCAAAGAATGCACTACCAGGTCATCTACCCATTCTTATCCATCTGTTTAAAGTAAACTGTGATCAGTGCTGCAATTTAGCTCCAAAACAACTTTTTTTTTTTAATGGTTTTCCCAAAATGAAAAGAAGAAGGGGCTAAGTGTATATTTTTACTACTACTCAGTATTGAAAAGATTGGTTCAGAATGCTTATTTGTTTTTATTTTTGCTTAGGGTGACTCCTGTCACAACAAAAAGCACTGAAGAATCTATAAATGTGTCCAGAAAATTCACCACACATGACAAATGAAGAGAGTATGGATACTAGTTGAAAACTACACTGTTTATGCAATTTAGATATATATAATAGGAGAAAGCAGGCTAAAATCCATGCTATTCTATTTACAGCATCCCATGAAATTTCCAATATTCTGCAGATGAAAAGCAGCCACGAGATCATATTTTGCAGAAGCTGGAGAAAAAAAAAAATTAAATTGTGACCACAGGAAGAATAAGGAGTCTCTTATGATCCAAATATAAAATTACTACCTTGTTAAACAGACTTATCAATACTTCTATCAAGATCCTGAAATGCACTGAAAAAGCAATTGCAGAACTTTCAACAGCTCCTTCCACATTTCCTGTTCCTTCTTTGAACAAAAGCTCAAAAGATAGTTCCCTCTCAGTACAGTTAAGAGACCTGTCAATGATTTTTTCAATACCCACTCTTGATCAACCAGCAGCAAACTGAAAGTCAGAGGAACCTGTTTCTTCTTTCTGATGACACCTCCTTGACTATCATAATTCTTTTTGCTGTTGAACTACTCTTTGGTCGGCTACTTGAAAACAGTTTTCTGAGGTGTCTTTCAACAGAATTCCTCTCTCTTCTAGATTGCAAACCTCCTCCTGGAGGTCTCATTGATAGGGTAGATATTAATAAAACTATGTGGAATCTATTCTCTCATAAATTTTTCATTTCCTTCTGCATATTGAGTCAACAGCAGAAGGCAGCTACATTCAGAGTCCTTTACGAAACACATACATTAAGCTCAAAACTTAAAAATACACAAACTATACACTGAATTATAACTTACCTTAGAAATACAGAAGGAATAGCTTAAGCAGTTGACTTTGAGCCTATTCTGCAGCAGGCTTTCTGCAGTAACTACAAGCTTGTTCCAACAGATGCCATTAATAATTTCTGACAGAATTCAGCCTTGTCACTCAAATGAAACAAAAAAGTCTTAAGACATGTGCCACACCTGCAAAATTGACCTATCTCCCTTGTGTCCTACATGTATATTTTATGTATATACTTTATATGTGTGTTTACATACACATAGGTATTTATAGACACACACATGCCCCCCCATCAGCTAATGGGAGTAATCAGTGCTCCTTTCAATAGAACGAAACTTCTGACGCTTTAAAAAATGCAATAGTCTGATCAACATGGGGGTGAAGAAAATTACTGGCTATGCAAACTCCTCTGCATTACCAGCCATTTCTGGCTGCTTCTTCATAAATACTGTCTCTGCAAAATTGTTTTCCAAGAATCTGGAAGGAAGTTTGTTACTTCAACAGTAAAATACTATTAATCATCCAGGACTGAAACAACACAATTTTCAGTTTGTGCAATTTACAAGTTTGTCTCCACAAGTGGTCACCTGCCATTACTATAGTCTTCCTCTGTTGCATTTCCCCATTTTTCTCCTGATCATTTATGATGCTAATTCTAGGCTTTAATCTTGATATGCAATGATCCAAACAGGCTCAGTAACAACTTCAAAAGAAACATTTTGGACTTCACAGGCATAAACAAGCACGAGAAAGTATGCAAAATAAAATCCATTTGATTCAGGTAGCTTGGAATTCACAGAGGATTTCTACATGTACATGTCTAATTTAAATGTTTTAACCATTATCACATAACAAACTAGTGGCACAGGTAGAGGCACTGAAATTCAGTATCTTTAGCCTCTGATACAGCTCTGATCTTTTCAAGGAACACTAA